TCTATATAGTTACACTTCATATAATTGGTTTCCTAATTGACCAGTGATCATTTCACATAGACTCTATGCCTTTCACTTTACAAACGATAATTTTCCGTTATAACTATAAATCAAATGTTTTTTTTCACCTCATTCAGTTTATAAAGTTTATTTAACAGCTTTAAAAAATTCGAAATTGAAATGGATAGTCTAGGGAACATACTGCATTAATGTACTCTACTGCATATAATTTGTGAACATTTACAGGATTTGTACACTTTGAACTCCCTTTCAGGCTGAAAGGGATTGACAAAATTCATACCGAAGGATCGTCTAAATTCCACTCTATTATATATTCAATTCTCTTTGGTAACTATACAAAATGTAACCGAGTGTCAAGTAAAACTATTTGGTTTGTAAAACATCAAATGCACAAAGTCTTACTTTAATGTCGTCTTCCTATTCCATTGTTTTCTGGCTCTTATTGTAGAATAAAAGTATTCAACAAATCGCAGTCAGCATATGAAATAGAATTGGTCTCACCACACAACACTGTCAAAATGTATTCACAGATATCGAACAAATTATAGAGGTCATTTATTTGACGTACTGTGTCCGTTTTGCCTCATTATAGTCTGCATTTTGTACTGTTGTACTGTTGTACAGCTTGCTAAAGTAGTGATGGTTTTAGATTTTTTTTCAAACCAATCGTTTTGTTTTTTGAAACGAAAGTAAATTTAAAACGAAAAACTATTTGAATATCGTTTTCCGCTAAAACGTTAAAAAGCGTCCTTTTGAAATTTTTCAAATCGACACTTTAAAAACGATCGCTTAAATTATTTTTTAACGAAAGTGCTCTAGCTGATTAAAATTCGTCGCGGGGGTAAAAAAGGGCGTGAATTCTTCAGTATCCAGAGGAGAAAATGAGGTTTTCTTGAGGTTTTCTTGGGGGAACGGCATCCCTTGTAATTAATCCTTTATGCATTTTTCAAATTGCATTTTTCATTTTTATTTTTCATATCAAATTATTTGATTTCAAGCTGAACTCAGAGTGCATTAAACTCTAATTTTGTGTGACTAAATTCTCACCAGAAGCTCTTATTTATAAATATCTTTGCAAACTTTAACAACTTAATCTATTAAACTTTGACAATTTAATCTAGCCGATTTTTTCACAATAAGATAAAGCTAAGGTCTGTGACGCCATGAGGTTGCAAAGGTTTGCATGGCTGCAAGTGTTTAGTTCCTTTGTCACTTTTTAATACAAAAGATATGTTTATGCCCTGGCGTTATAAAATAAAATTTTGCAGGTTCCAAATATTTCAGATGCTGAAACTACAAATGAAGGTACTATGCTGCGCATGGCATCCTACAGTCACACCCCATCTTATTGTTATGCGAAATCACTGTGAAAGGAATGCACAATGCACAATTTTTCAAACTTTTCCAGAAAGCATAGAAGATTTTATTTTACAAAGTTATCCCATAATAAAGTAAAAACTCAAAAGAAAAGTCTCACGAAGATTATTTTGAATTCAACTTTATCTCTAATGCAGCTGACAAATCTTAACCTTCGGGTGAGGGAAGGTGAGGGGGGGGACATTGGGGTAATGGGGGAATATATTTTTTTTGGGGGAGGGGCGTTTTAAAATAATTTTGAACAGGTAGAAGATTTCTTGTAATATGGTTGTTATAAAGTTCATGGTTATGCAAAAACTCTCAAAATTTGATTTTTTAATTCATGATCTGGGGTGGTCATATATATATATCTGATAATAATATCGAGACTGTAAAAATTATTTCATAATAATCAATAACCCCCTCATTTTAGAATAAAAGCTGGACTTATGTATCTGTTGCCTGAGTGCTCAGGCATACTGCCTGAATGCCATATATATTACCAAACTAAATCTTTATTTAGACATACTTCCAGTCATTGGATTTCAACATTTTAAAGCTCTTTAGTAAGTCCATAATAAAAGAAAGAAGATCGCACAATTTCTGCACACAGAAGTTTTGCTCAGATTTTTGCACAGACGCCTTGAAAGGGAATTCACAATTTTAGTTTATCTTGAATACACATTTAGGTTGTAAAAATTTGAAAATATTTTTGCATACTTAAATTTGCAATTTGTCATATCGCGCAAAAAACATGTTGCACTCTTCTTGCTAATTAACTAGATTTCACATTAAAATATTAGATTTTTGATAATTTACACTAAATCCTCCCTTCCCCGACTAATCTCCTTAGTTCACCCCCTGGCAGTTGTACGTGTTAGAACTACGAACCAACAATAACTGTATATGTAGTTAATGGATATAAGTCCGACAGAAATGCTCACCGAAAAAAATCGTGTTCCGAAACAATTGCCATGACATCTTTTTGAAACTTGCGTCTATATAAATCTATAGAACTTACAGGGTGTTTTTCTGAAAAATGTTATGTTTCTAACATTATCTTTCTTCTTTAATAATATTTATAAACTCATAGTTCAAAGTATAATTTAAATAAATTCAATTCTGATAAATGATTTATTGACTGTATTCAATACTTTAATTGATATCAGAGACTCCTTGCGTAAATAGAATAAACTAAAATGTGAATTACAATCAGTACTACAATCCTATTCTGACCAATCAGAATTCACCAAGTATGTAAATTCACACAATCAGAGCATCAGCACCTGCAACAACGGTTTAGATATTTCCGCCCAGCGTACACACTACACAGGAGCAGGTGGTAGACGGAGCTATTAAGAGGAGGGGAGGGGTGTGTAAACTTAAAAAATGGTTTTGCAAAACGAAACTGGGTTTTAATTACAAATGTAAAGGTTTTATGTATTTTTCTGTTTTATTATAAAATAATAGTACATATCTTGTTTGATTATTGGGTCGAAACTGGTTTCGCGTTCATCTAAACTCTCTTAAGTTTCCGACTCTGGACTGTATGGGATGGTTGGAGTTATTTTTTATTCATACATGGGTTGTTCACAAAATATGCTACTTTGATTACTTAGATTGATTATAATATGTCGATCATGACCCATACCGAAGGATCGTCTAAATTCCACAAAAAAAGTTGTGATCAAAATGTTTTTAATCCATAAAAAAGGTGATGAANCTTCCTCTGCAGGTACTTTCCCTGCATTCGGTTTAATTGACTGTATCCAGGTTAGCCCCAGTCCACTCCATCCACTGCAGTCACGCTTATTGGGCTTGTTTAACCCCAGGCAATTCTAGAGTTACGCTTATTGGACAGACATCTAACCACATTCAATGTTATTGGTCGGATCGAATCATCGGACTTATAATGCTTCTTTACTATAGTTCATATCTAGTTCAGTTAGAAACCACTAGATGTCTCTTATATCTAACATTTTAATGGACTTTAACTTTCTTTTGAATCTTAGAATAACTGGGAAATTTTTATGTGAATCCAGGTATTTTTATCTAAAAGATCCTTGTACGAATATAAAACGTTTAATGTCTGAATTTATGTCGGACAGAAGGATACCCCATAGGCCGGGAAAGGTAAAGAGGGTATACGTGGTAGCGTTTAGAGTTGGCTCGTTAACGGACCAAAATGGAGTGAGGGGAGTAATGTGAAATGGTTGTTTTTATAGCGCTTGGAGCGCGGTATTAATGATGGGAGATAGAGGGGAAGTAGGTAGAATTGCATGAAAAAAGGGGGAAAAAAATTCAAAAATTTAGGTAATGCATATAAATCATGTTTGTTGTTAACAAAAATATCGTAAGATATGGGATGATTATGTGGATGGGGAAATGTGATTAAAGGAAAATAATAGAAATTATTAATGTATGGCCCACCCACCTATGTTTGTATTTAAATGGATAGGATATGTTCATTGGAAGAAAATAAAGAAGAGGAATTTCGCGTGTAAAATAAATGCGAGGATTCACAATTTTTATTATGCAAAACTAAATTGTGTTATGTTGACGACTCACAAAAGTTAGGGTTGATCGGTTCAGCAATTATTACGCTATGGACACAAACAAACAAACAGACAAACAAGTGTAAGTGGAAGTGTAATTTTAAAAGAAGAATAGAAAAATAGACTAATAAGAAAATAAAAAAAATTCTAGGATAAGGGGAAGGTTTAATTCAAAGTAGAGTGTGCTATAGTAATAGTGTTGAAGCGGAGATGAAAGTGAAAGCCAAGGTGAAGTTGGGTTGTGTCAAATAGGTTGTCAAGTACAATAGACGGCAACACAGAATGCGTACACTTTCAGTACAGCTGTTTAAACTTCATAAGTGTCAACTCAAATTTTCTGTCTGACAAAACTATAAATAAAAGTGATATTTTTAGACTAAGGTGTTTATTTTTTAGTGAAATTAGTGCAATTTTATGTGTTCTTTATTTCTGTTTTTACACTTTTTCATTTAACGTTCTATAGACTTAATGACAGGGTTGAAACTGATTTTGTACATAACCCTTTAACATTGTAATTCGAAAGTATAACGTAAAAACACATTTCAGAAATGTTTAATGATATCTTTGGAGAAGTGCTCTGGAAAGGTCTAATCGAGGATAAACCCCCAGATCCAGGGGAAATACAGGCAACAAGAAACGGTAATTTTCTAATGAAATGTCGTCTTCTCGGGATATTTAATTTTTTTCTCAAATGTCGTATTTTACTATTTTTGGGAACACGTACGAAATATATAAAAATTTTCAAAGGTGCTTTAATTATGAAATTATTGGAAAGCCTATGTAGATATATATTATAAACAGGTTGTCCCAAACAAAAATTTGGAGTAGGGGTATTGGGTACTGAGGCAACAATTTTGATTAAATGTTCACAATCATGTTAACATTAGAAATCTCGATATTTCAGTTATTTCCAGGCATTCTTTTTATAGTCGTCTTTCTTTTTTCATTTGACACATATGACGTTGTGCGCAGTTGGTCGATTTTTCTGTTGCCATCTATTGTACTTGACAACCTATTTGGGTTGTGTGTTTGTTAGTGAGCGGAGAGTACAAAAGTTGAAAGAATACACAGAAACGGTGGTTGAGTATAACCAGTTTCTGTGGTAGACACATGATTAAGTTGAGCGGGTACTAAACACGCAGTATGTGAAGGAGCACGAGGCTGGACAGAGGTATGTAAAACATTGAATAATTGAGGACTTTATGTAAAAAAGGTTAAATTAAGCATTTTATGTACGCGCAAAAGTAAGTTGAAAAAGGTGATAAAGTGGTAACAAATAGATAAGCATGAATGCAAAGTGAATTGTTTTATGAGTGGGGGGGGGGGTCATTGAGAAGGTAGTTAACAAGGGGATATAAAAATATAGAAAACTGTGAAGTTGACGTTAATGAGGTTTTAATTATGCTAGGTATGCTTAAAAAGGAAATGAAATAGTTTAATGTGCTGTGGGTTTTGGGGTTGTCGAGTAACATTAGAGTACAAAAAAAAGGTAGGGGATTTGATGTAATTAAGTATAATTATGACCAGGATACATTGCAGATGAGGGATTTGTTTGACAAGGGAATATTAATTGTAAAAAAATTAAGGTTATTTGGTACAGAAGGTCTGCGTTAGGAGCAGATGTGTAGTGATACGGAGCTTATGGGAGTGAGTTAATGATAGTTAATTGTAGTTAATTGTCAGGAGAAGAGTGTATTGGGAACATTGGACAAGGGTAAACGAGGGGGAGGTATAATTGCACAGGACAAGGGAGAGAATAAGGGTAATTTTAAATTCGGAAAAGTTATACGAATGAGATTAAAATAATTTAGAAGGCGTACTGTTACAAGTGTGTAATTTAATAGCGTGATAATGGCTGATATTGAAAGCAAAAATGATTTGTTTACAGATATCAGAGATATATTTATAGATATTAATGACAGGGGAGGTTGACAGAGTGAAATAAATATGACATACTAATATATGAAAATTTAGACTGACGATGTGGAATGGAGGTGAACAGTACGATGAGCCGGGTGATTTCGACGAAGACAGCACAGAGATGACAGTTGGGCATGGAAATGTAATGCAAAAATTACAAATATCTAATAATATACAGATAAACGTGAAAGTGACTCCTATAATTGAGAAGACAGCTGGTTACAATGCTACAGTGGAGAAGGAGACAGAAAATCTAAAGCTGTTGGTGACAAAGAGTGAGTATGATACAGTAGCGGAGAGCATAACTGAAAAAATGAACGAGATTGTTGCTGGTGTTACTAACAAGGAGGATGAGAATGAGGCGGGAGAAGGGGGTGGAAGCGGTACAGCATACTTTGTTTGGGTTGTAATTGCCGGGTTACTGATTATTATCATCATAATATGCATCTGGACATGTTACAGGTAACACTGAAAATTGGAGGAAAGGTGGTTAGATTTTAAAAGAGGTTTAAGAGAAATGTAGAGTGTTGTAAACTGTACATATAGAATGTGCAGATGAAGGGGGGGAATAGGCATAAGAGAAAAGTGAATAAAGTTAAAGGTGGACAAGAGAGAATTAAAAATAATGGAATATGGACAGAATATCAAAGTTATAATTTATTAATATTTAGGAATACTCGGAGTGGTGGTTATAGAGACCGGAAGGACTCGGAACATGATGGTTGGTTTCAGCGGATATGTCGGAAGGTAATATTCAAAAGATATATATGGGACATTTGACAGGAATGTTTGTTGTAAAGGGAAATATTAAAAGTAAGAATAATGAAAAGATAAAATGTATAAACATTACAAATATTTAGGATGGGAAGAATAAGAGAGAACCGGAGATTGAAATAAGGGTTGTTGGGAGAGATGGTTTGACGGAGACAGGCGGAGGATCAGGGTATCTTACCCCAATCATGATTAGGCGTGCTGAGGGGGAGCAGATTAGCTCTGAATTAGAGCGGAGACGGAGCGTAGCTGTCGAACGGAAGGTGAGGAGAAGGGGAATTGGAAATGGTTTTTTTTTAAAAGGAAAAGGGTTGATTTGGATAATTAACATGAAAATTATGGAAAGGGTGGTGGACAGGGTGTATTAAGAAATGAGGGTTTTGCAATATAAGTGGAAAAAAAAAATATTACCAATATTTATTGTTTAGGATTGTACGGGGTTGATGAACTGGAATTATTCAAGCGCTGAGCTCGAGGACAGTTTGTATGAAGAGGTACAAGGGCCAGAGGAAGGTGAGGAAACGGGCGACGGAGGGCGCATGGGGACCACAGATGAGCACGACAGTCAGAGAGGACAGGTTATAAACGGGGTTCCAGGGGGTAATGATACATCGAATTGCGCAGACAACGGTAAAGGAGAGAGGGTTGACGGAGGAGCATGAAAAACGAATGTACAGGCTGGGGTTGAGAAGTCAACATACAGGTATGAAAACGTCCTTGAGCTACCTATGGTATCTATGCCGTTGGGAAGCAGCCATATTGGAGGACAGGATCAGTATGGATTTAAGGAGATGCGGCTGAACGGTATAAACGACGATGCAAGATTGGAATCATTGAATAGTTTTGCTGAAGGGGTGAGAAAAGCTATTGCTAATGTGGACGCAGCTTGTCGGGACGGTGAGGAGAGGTTGGTTCCAGTTCTGGAGGATTTGGAGGACAAGATGTTGGCAGAGAAAGCCAAGGAGCAAGAGTCAATGTTGCGAGTACAGCAGTTCTATGAAGCAACACCCAGACGAAGTGCTCGGTTGGCCAAAAAAAGGTTGAATTCGAAGGAGTAGGAGAGGATACATGGAGAAAGAATTATAAGAGAAAAGAAAATTAAGACATTATGTGATAAGTCTAGTTGGCCGAAGGCAATTTAGTATAAATGTTCTGAAATAAAAGTTAAACGAAAGTGAAGAATATACTTTTTGAAAATTAGATTTGTTGAGGGTTTGGCGGAGGATTTATGTACATAAATGTAACACATATACAAGTGTACATAAGTTATAAGGCGTTTATGTACAGATATTTATTATTGTAAAAACATGAGTCCTAGTGGTACAATATGAACAAAGAAAACAGTATTCTTTAATTAAAGAAGTAATTTTTTGAACAAGATTTTTTTTTTCAATCAAACATGTTTTTGTTTACTTTGAGGTTATAGGTTTTTTTGTTTTTTTAGGTTTTGAACATTGAGATTAAAAATACACATAATGGTAGAAATATTTAAAATCTTTTTTTGTTGTTTTTTTTGAAATTTATAATTTTTTTGTCTTTATAAGATTTGAACACCGAGAGGAAAAGTACACATAACGACATATACATTGAAACCATTTCTTTTTTTGTTGGGTTTGAAGTTTATAATTTTTTTTAAAAGTATTTTTTGCTTTCTTTTTGTTGACATACGTAACAATTTGGAGTGGTCACAAAATATTTGTGTTTATACAGTAAGTATGAGATATGTAAATGGACAAGTATTAAGCAATTAAAGTTTTGAATTTGAATGATAGAATTCGAAATTTTATTTTTGATAAAACCAGCGCTGCCACGAAACTGGTAAAAAGTTCGAAAATTATTGTGTTATTTTGAAATTAAAATGTTTTAAATCATAAAAGTGTAAGATTAAAAGTTTTGAATTGCAGCTGAGTTCAGGACTTTTGAACCCATTCCGAGTGTAGAAAGATATCATTGCGTGGTTTAACTGCATATCTGTAACTTTTTAAATAATAAGGATGTATTTTACATTGGATGTTATCAAAGTTTCTAAATAACGGAATGTCTGGGCATTGTACAAGTTTGAAGAACAAGAGTTTTTAAAAATATTTTATATGAAGCATTCCCATCAGCGAATTTATTTAATAAAAATGAATCGCCAAATAGGGCAACAAGGTGTTCCAAAAATAGTAAAATTAGAATTGATTTAGAAACAAAACGATGGGAAATGTTGTATTTAGGTGGTCCTCCAAAAAGATCATTAAAAACGTGGGACAAACAAGGTTCAATTTCGCAAAGTACATAATGTTTGATTGAAGCCGGGTCACCTGTAAAACTGTGTTTTTCGCAACTAAGAAATTCTAGGAGAAGGACTACCTGTAAGTGTTTCGGTACAAGTAAGTTAAAAATAAAATCCGCAGGATCCAAGTTACCTTTTAGTTTGTTAATATTATCATGAATAGCAATGTTTGCTAAAGAAGTTAAAGGAAGAGGGTTTTTTTGATTTTGCCAATGACGGAAGTCATTTACACACGAAATTCTGGGTTTAGGATCATTAAAGGGGCTATGACCCAACTTAGGTTTAGGGGTAGATAAATATTCAATGGGGGAGTGAAGCGTCATATCAAACATAAAATTGTCAACATAAATTCGAATTATAAGGAAGACGATTGTACCGACTCAAATGCCGATGCCTATTTTCAAGAAGTGTTTATCTATTTCCTCCATGTAGTGGCCACATGTCAAATCCCCGCTCTTCCTAGCTCCCACTTCACCCCAGCAGTCAGCCGAAAACATCCGAGATGATCACAACTCAGTCTCAGAGAGCTACCCTGGCTCCTGCATGTTGTTAATGTAGATAATTGAGCAGCAGCAGACGGTGCTTACATCCAGCCCATCAAAATGTTCCAAGAGTTCTAAATATTTGTGGCCGAAAAGAAAGGAATTATCTGGACTGAATATATTTCCCTCCCCGGAGTTCCGACAGGCCTACTCACCCACTCTCCTCCACAAGAGGATAATCTCAACTCTAAAGAGTTTACTAATTGAACCTGGAAGTTTGTTGGGGATTATATATCCTACAAGAGCCTGGAGAGAGCAGAAACCTGCTGTTACAGTTCTAGTTGATCTGCACTACCAACATGAAGTTCTACATAGCTCACTTAAGTTGCTACTGATTGTCAATTTATAGTTTCTTTATTAATTTCTAAACCAACCAATTTAATCCCCACTTAGGAAACTATTTCATAACCTTTCGTTTTAATAAATAAAGATTAGAAATACCATTAGATCTCTTTTATTTTATCATATTGACTTTTAAAGTCAACATTATGAAATACGGAAATCTGGGCGGGTTATATCTTGGTTGGTTGGATTTTAAAAAGTTTCGAATTTATTTTAATCTTTGTTAAATTAAAATCCCTTTTTAATTTAACCCCCAGTAGGGGGCAATGTTAACATAAATCCGAAATATAAGGAAGACGATTGTACCGACTCAAATGCCGATGCCTATTTTCAAGACCTGTTTATCCATTTCCTCCATGTAGTGGCCACATGTCAAATCCCCGCTCTTCCCAGCTCCCGCTTCACCCCAGCAGTCAGCCGAAAACATCCGAGATGATCACAACTCAGTCTCAGAGAGCTACCCTGGCTCCTGCATGTTGTTAATATAGATAATTGAGCAGCAGCAGACGTGCTTACATCCAGCCCATCAAAATGTTCCAAGAGTTCTAAATATTTGCGGCTGAACGGAAAGGAATTATCCGGACTGAATATATTTCCCTCCCCGGAGTTCCGACGGGCCTACTCACCCACTCTCCTCCACAAGAGGATAATCTCAACTCTAAAGAGTTTACTAATTGAACCTGGAAGTTTGTTGGGGATTATATATCCTACAAGAGCCTGGAGAGAGCAGAAACCTGCTGTTACAGTTCTAGTTGATCTGCACTACCAACATGAAGTTCTACATAGCTCACTTAAGTTGCTACTGATTGTCAATTTATAGTTTCTTTATTAATTTCTAAACCAACCAATTTAATCCCCACTTGGGAAACTATTTCATAACCTTTCGATTTAATAAATAAAGATTAGAAATACCATTAGATCTCTTTTATTTTATCATATTGACTTTTAAAGTCAACAAAAATAGATCTGTACAATGAGTGTGAATACTTTAAGCGATATAATAAAATACAAACCAATATCAAGATTGAAGGGTACAGAACTTAAATGTCAAACAAGTATAAAATATGTACAATGCAGTAAAGTTTCGGAATTGCGACGGTTGAAGCAGTAGGACAGAACTTCCAACGTCGTTCCTGAAAAATAAAAGATGTATTATTTTTTTACCCTTTTAAAAGAATTAGCCTTTGTCCTATGTATAGAAGCAACGTATCTTGTATTTTTGTGCCTTTTTGACTGTTTTGGTTTTAACAGTTTAATAGTAAGTCCAATAATTAAAGATACTGACAAGGTAAGAATACCGGCAAGGGAGACATATATTTGATAATTGGGATTAAGGAAGGGGTTTAAAAAATAATAAATCGTTTCAAAATCTTCAGATGTTAGATAGCTAAAAATTATATTAGTATCAAGTGACGTCGGGCCAAAAAGGTAAATTGTATCATTGAAATCGACTTGAATAGTGAATTCAGATTGTATAAGAATTGGTATGTCATAAAAGTCTGGGTTAAGAGATTGATTTAGTGAGGGTTCGTGAGTAGCTGGGTCCAACAAGGTTATTTTAGCCTGAGGCGGGATAAATACACCATTTAATGTGAGGAATGGTTTAATTTGGGCAGTAAGTAGGATGGGGCAACTTAATAACATTTTCGAGACGTGTTTCTGTTTAATGGCATCAATACAAGGAGTTTGAACTGCAGATAATTGACAAGTTTTAATTTCGTTAAATTCTGAGCAAGTTTGATTATAATAGGTGGAGTTGTCATGAATGGGGTTGTATAAATGATTTAAATCTAATATTATCCCAGCTATGGGGGTAGGTTTTAGAATTTGAAAAGTTTTGAAATCATGATCTTGGGTTAGTTTAACAGTAACTAATGCTCCTTCATTGTAAAACGTTAATTTTTTGATGCGGTAAGTCTCTTTGCCATATGTTCTAATACATTTATTTAGATTCAAGTTCAGATTAGTTTCAGCTGGAATTTCATAGTTTTGAAGCAAAGATATAGCAGAATATTGTTTATCAAACAGCGCAAGGAATTCGTGTACGGTCCCTTTAATCAAAAGAAGAGAATTAGCTAATAGTTGGAATTTTTCTCCTTCTTGATTTTGTTTATCTTCATTCTTAAAAGAAAAAGATGAGGGAAATTTGTTATTAATTAATTGGAGGCTTTCAATGAGATCTTTGAAAGTTGATTGAGATAAGAGTTGACGTTTAAAAGTGCAGGGGGAGGGGAGATGTTTATTGTCGTCTTGCTTTAAAAAGGTTTGAGTTAAAGCGTTAATTCCCCTAATCATTCGTTTAATGGATGTTAAATCAATGAGTACATTGTTTAGTACCTCGGGTACAACTGCATTTGGTTCAGGTTTAATTATTTGATAAATTGTTTTAAACACGTCAAAAAGTTGGTCAGTTTCATCACTAGTGAGAGTGAAAATTTTAAAATCTAAATAAACCCTAGTGGTGGTAGTCTGTTTGGCTAGATCTGTTTCCGAGGTTGGTACTAATAGATCAAGGTCTAGGGCTACGTTTTTAATGAAATTGGGCACCAGGAAAATAAGTATGAGAAAATAATTCATTATTTCGTGCCTAGGATTGAAGTTTTTTTTTATATTAAAATGAATTTGTTNGTTTTAGATTGATATTTACCTTATCCAGAGAGAGTGTTCTCTGTTTGCAGTTTTGCCCGGCAGTAGTACTGTAGGATTTGAAGTGCTTGAGTTCTCGTATAATTTGAAATGGTTTGATCAGTGTTGAAGATGGGATGAGGTTTCTCCAGTATGTTTGTGTACCAATTGTGACCAAATCCTACAACTCCAGTAGTTGGAATAAAGATGGTTTTTGTAAACCTAGCCAGAAGTAGGGCGGATACATTAATTTGGTACCACATGTGAAGAAGTACAGTTGAAGGAATTTGGAAGTTTCTGGATATTGGAGGTTGACCCAGTACTACAAATTCAGGCAGTTTACCCCTTTGGCGCAGTATATCTTGGGAGACTCTGTTTAGACCACAAAAGAAACCTAACAATATACTTTTTAAGCTGTGATGTAGTAAATTAGCCCAGGTCTCAGGTTGGTGACACATGAGGAAGGGGTACAAATTCAATTCAATGAAAATTGGTATGTTCAGGGGAGCTTTTAAAGCCATTTGTTTGAGATGAATGAGTAGATTGCGGTCAGCAGGAAGGTGGTGAAGAGCTTTTCCTTCCAGGTGTATAATTCCTTGAAGAGAATTATTCATATGAGTGTAATAGTGGGTCGGCCATTTTTGTTCTACTGCAAAATCTGGAGACAGATTCAGAGTTGGGAACGGCGAGTTGGGAAGAGTTCCAGCTTTGTCTAACACTTGAATCCCAATTACTATGGCTTTATACATCTTGCCATCTGCTGCAGTGATTTTGCCTGAAGTTTGAGTCAGGTAAGATTGTCCTAATAAGTGGGGTCCAGCATAAGTGCCAGTACCGTACATTAGGTCATCAACTTTCGCTGGAAGAATGGTAGCATTGTTCCAGAGAGTTTTGAGGAAGATCCCTACGTTTATTTGGCTGATTTCATAATGGTATTTCCTGTAATTCTGAAGTTTATCCGCTAGTTTATCTCCGAATCTTAAGACTCGTACTATATCTGATACAGCTAGGCTATCTTCTTTTGTCTTGCAACCAAATCGATTATATTAGGCATTTTGAACGGTTCATCCTGGATCTCGGCTTGGAAGTTGGTGAATAACTCAGGTTGTGTAATGTATCTTGACAAATGAAGAAGATTGTGAATCTTCAGGGTTTCTCTGATCATCAGTTCTGATCTGGTCGTAGCGATAGTGTTAGGTCGTCTTTGTTGATTAATCTGCTGTATCTGGTTACGGGTAAACATATTTACCACTTCAGGCGACAGTTGATAATGAGGTTTTCAGTTCATCAAGTGAATCAAGAGGTCCATGATGGTTACAAAGCCGAGGTCGCACATGGGGCATCTGAGTGTATTATTATGATGGTGAAGATGGTGAGAAATTAATGTTGTATTACCATAAAAACGGTAACATATGTTGCAAAATATTTCTCTCTTTTCTGAGTGATCTCGGCTAAATCCACAATGTGTCATCAGAGACAAAAATGTTGGGAATACTTCTGTACACTCTAGACAGAGCAGGGGTCCATGGTGTTGTTTTAGGAGTATATCTTGAACTGCTGGATTGTCGCCTAACAAAGAACCATGGGTCATTAGGTGGTTTAGATTTTGACGAGATGGTTTGGTTTGGTCTCGTAATTGGATGGTGAAGTCATTACAATGACGACAGGTGAGAATCCCATTTTGCACTGTCATTGAAAGAGTTAGGAGTGCCAATGCATCCTTCTTTTCTTGTTGCAACATTCCCAATTTATGGGAAATTGCAAAACCGCCAAGGCGTCGGTGCTGTTCTAAAGACATATTAGGTGGTTTCCGGAAGCAGATTTTGCATGATCTGTCAGCGACAATAAAAACATCTTCGTCTGCTTCAAGTTCTTCTTCAGTCCTACTAGATTCTGAGTCACTTTCGAAAATAATTGGATCTTGAATTGGTTCGAGGATGGTTTTAACTCTTTCTGTCATCAAGGTTCCCAGAACTTCATTGTAGGAATGAGGGTGTATAAGAGTAGTTAAAATTTTTGGGGCGTGCCCAAGTTCATTAGTCTGGGTTTGGGCTTTAGTGCCTGGGGCAGGGTTCATTTGCAGGCTGTCCTGATTTGGTTTAATTGGTTCCGGTTGTTTAGGGAGTTTGGAATTAGAGTTGTCTTCATTTTCTTCCAGAGGGCGTTTGAATAAATGTTTTTTTATTCTAGGGTCTGGGTGATAGCGTACAATAAATTTGGGGATTGGTTTAGCTTGGAGTAGAGTGATTTGGTTCGTTTGAGCAGGAGTACTGGGGCAACTTATAGTCTGTGATACTGGGTCAGGAGGTTTTAGTCCTGGGTCTGATAGATTAGAAGGTTCATTTTCTCCAGGAATAACTTTATTGTCATGGGTTGGGGGAGTTTGCTTCTCTGGGTTCATATTGAATGTCTATAAATAGGAATAATTAACAAATGTAAACAATGTTTCCAACCGAATCTGGGTTTCTGTGTGAGAAAATGTGCGAGGTGTCTGCACATACTAATGTATTGTTTACATAGTCAAGGGTCATGAAGAGGGGTCGCTCAATGTTAATATTAGGTTTGGGTACACATTTTACAAAAAACATTTTGTGTAGATAATGATGAAGATTCTTTGGTTCAAATTGCTCATTAATCATGACGTCAACCATCCAATTTTCATACAACTGTAAGCAATGATAGTTCTAGGAAAAAGTGTTTTAAGAGGGAATCTGTCATAATCATATTCTGGAATTCTTAAATAATTTTTGATTCGTGATAAAATATGGGGTAAAGAGGGAGCGTATAAATAAAGTGCCTTTTTATTGTGAGAGGTTTCGTTATGATAGTCACAACAAACAAAATGTGCGTAGATTCTTGTTATTAAACGTTTGGGTAGATTTAATTGTAGGATAAACTGAGTGGTTGACATCATAAAATGTTTAGCCCAAAAAGGAATGTTTTTGTGGATCTCCATAATGGCAAAAGTTTGTAAGGACATGTAGTTTGGGTTTTTCATAATTTGTGAACTAAAATCATTTGTGCAACAATTTTTAAAAGATCCAATAGGGTTGGGAGAAAGATTTGACAGGAGGGTTAAAATATGACAGCATTGATTAGACATTATGGGACTGTGTTAAAACTCACTTTTTTGGTTTCAGAATCTGATTCTGAGTCAGACTCAATTAGCTGCAGATCTTGTCCTTATGGAAAGGGGAGGCACCTTAGATTTGCTCTTCTTTGTTTTAGATGACTCTGAAAGATGCTCAGCTGGTTTCGAGTCTTCCACTGGTTTAGAGTTCTGAGTAGATTTCAGCTCTGCAGGAAGCGAGTCATCTAAATTAACAGTATTATTATTATGGTTGTTATCATTCTCATTTTTTTATTCTAATAAAAGGGTTTGATCAGATGGATAAATTGCATTTTCATTGTTTAAATCTTCATTTTGGTTTTCTGCAAGTAACTCGTAATCCAAAATGTTTCCAGAGGGATGGTCTAGACTGCCTAATTCTCGTAATTTTTCAAAATGTAATTTATCTAATTTGATCCAACAAAGGATCCAACAAAGAATCGTTTTGGAATGGTTTATTTTATCGTAAATAATGACGGAGTCAAACAGGCTATGTCGTGGAGACTTGGAGGAACCTCTCCAGCTCAGGTCCCGATTTGAACTGCTTGTTGGTTTGTCTTGCAGGCTTGAAGTTGCCTGTTTTGTTCAAGGTCTACGTTCTTGGTGTAGCCAGGGAGCCAGTGTAGGGGTTTCATAAAAATATATAAATTTTAATTAATATGTCATATTATTACAATTTGTTATTTTAATAAACGAAATAGAATTGGTGCAGTTTTTTATATCTTTTAGTTTTTGTGAAAAAATATATTTATGTTTTTGTATTTGATGTTTTGTTTAATCCGGAAATATCTGTTTTTTTTACGTGGATTTAGGGTTCTTTGTCTGCTGAAAGGTAGGGCTAAGTATTTTGTTTGAAGGTTAAGCGTGGAGCTTTAGAATTCATACTTTATGAGAACCCACGCTTTAGATTTATGTAACAAATTTGTCAAAAGTGTGAACTAAAATTTCTCTTATGTCTGTAGGAAGGTCAGAAAATTCCGCGCTCAGGGGCGAATATTTTTTGACTAAATTTATGTTATATATTGATTGGAAACCATCAGCCAATCTTTGTAATAAAAGTGTGGTATGTTTGACTTGTAGTACCACATAAGGGTCACTGCTATAAGAACTTCTCAAAGGGCGGGAAGCACCCAAAGTGATTTTAGGGTCTTTTAAAAATACATAATCTCCTTTCTGAAATTCATGCGAAAGTTTATTTTTATCAAATTTTTCCTGGGTTGCAATCTTTTGATCATAAAGTGATTCTTTGACAAATTTAAAAATTATTTCTTTTTCTTTGAATTTCTGTTCTACGTAAGACTTATGATTTTCTAAAAGTGGATAGAGTTTAGAAGGGAGAGGTTTGGTGAGATCGGAATGGTTCTGAACCGAGTTTAGTCCGTGAAGCATTGTTAATGGGGAGTAATTAGTCTTAATGCATACTGTAGAATTAAACTGTTTAATAACTAATGGCAAGATAGTATTCCAATTATAAGTGTCAAATGTAGTAAGGGTTTTCTTTAATAATTTTTTAACGATTTCAACGGATTTCTCAGCAATCGCATTAGAAGTAGGGGATAGAGAAGCGATTTGAATTTTTTTAATACCTAAAATCTGTAAAGTTGTTAGAAAGTGTTTTTCATTAAAACATGGTGCATTGTCACTTATAAAGAATTTAATAGAGAAATATTGAAAAAGATCATAGATAATATGAAATAATATTTTTTCAGATGTTTTAGATTTAAGTGGATATACTCGAATAAAACCAGATAGACCACAAACAAGGATTAAAAGGTGTTGAAAACCACCACTGGGGTTTAGGTTTTCAGCTAAATCCGCGAAAACAGTTGTAAAAACGTTTTCAGATAAGGGGTACATTCCTGATTTATGCTTTTTATTGTTCATATTATTTAATGCAATGAATAACATCGTGCCGTGAGGTTTTTTATTTTTTGTAATTTTTGCGGGAAATAATAACTGAACATTAGTGCAGACATTTTTGCAAGTTCGGCATGAGCATAAGCTGAATGATAATGAGCAATCATTAATCCTTCTAATGACTTAGGAACAACGACACGTTGTATACCTTGGTCAAAACAATATAATAAACCATCCTGAAATTTATAATGTTTATTTTCAAAATGTGCAGATTGATCTTTTGATTTAATGCATTCAACTATTATGTGGTTAAATTGAAGATTTTGTTGCAAGGCAATGTTTGCAAAAGAAATTCGTTTTTGCAAAGCATTAACGGGTTCGAGGAGTTTGTTCATGTCTTGAACAGTTTTATTAAGGGAGAGTACGACCTTATTTGTTGGTTCAACTGAGACTACTTTTAATAAGTGTAAATTACGATTTACAAATTCCTTCCATTCTGGAAGAGAAAAGTACTTGGAAAAATATAACTGTTCGTCCAATTCAGGAACAGTGTAATGTTTAAAAGAATGCGTTTAATATCTGTATTATCAATTGAAAAATCACGGGATAAGTAATCAGCAATATTTAATTTAGTGTTTACAAAGCGGAGTTTAAGATTAGGATAGTCACTGTATAATTTATCACTCCACCTGGCAATTTTAGTAGAAGATTTATGGAGTGGATTAGCAAATAAAAGAAACAGACTTTTAGAATCAGTAATAGCTAAGAGTTCATTTTTACCAATTAATTTGTCTAGACCGTTTAAAGCTAATAGTAGAGCCATGAGTTCAAGTTCTAAGATAGATTTTGTTATGTAATTATCGGGTATAATTTTAGACCAAAAATGTACAATTTGAAACTTTTCTAATTGTTTAAGATCGAAATCAGAATCTTTGTCAATAAAATAGGGGCGAAAAATTAAAACATTAGATTTACAGTAAAGGCCTAAAATGAATGGGGGCTTTTCAACATGTGGGTTGAATTTAAGAATGGTAGTTTCAGAATGCTGTTTTAAAGATGAAACTACTATAATGGTTCTATATAGTGACATTGCCAGGGCTGTTAAGAGTTCTAAGCTATTATCTAGGGGGCCTTGGTTGAGAAAGTTGTTAGTAAAAAGTTTGTAATCGTTTAAATTGTTATTAAATTGGTTTTGTAATATTTTTTGTCTAATAATTAAACTGTCCGTAGCTCGTTGGAAAGTAATTTTTCGCATATGAGAAATAGTAAGGAATGAACATTGATAAACGTATTGAATGGACCTGATGGATATAAAAAGAGAATCGTTAACTGTTTCTTTAGTGTAACCTAGGTACGGGAATTGAAGATAAGATAAATCAGGGATGGGACTCGTTTTGGTTTTTGGTTTTGGTGTCATGAAAATAAATATTGCAGGGTTGTAAGCATAAACGTTTGTTGTAAATTATGGCATGGACAGGATCGTTTAAACTTAAATAAGTTGGAACCACAAGTTTATCAGATGAAAGAGTTTTTACTTGACCTAAAACAGCTGAGAAGCAAGCACCTTTTGATGCACTTGCATCGGAAAATAAAATTTTTGGTAGTTTAGGATCTATAATGTTTGAAAAAAGGGGGGTTTTAGTAAGGAGCGTTTTCATTTCTTCAAAAGCGGCATGATGCACAAGTTTAGGGTAGTATTTAACATTTGACCCAGTTAAAGGTAATAGAGTTTTTAAAGGTTTCATAAGAACATGAGGGGAGACCATTTTAATGGTATTAAGTAAAGCACAAAAAGAGCGCATAGCTTTTTGATTAGCCGGAAATGAAGCGTTTAATAATTTATCTACGCGTTGAGGATCAGGTTCTATACAATTATTAGAAATAATCCATCCAAGATATTTGATTTTTGATTGCGCAAAAACACTTTTATGAAAACTAATTTTTGCTTTATGTAGTGCTAGGCGTTGTATGACTTTTTCTACTAACTGAAAATTTTTCCTTAAAGTTAGGTCAAAGGTTGATTCCAAGGGGGAGTAGAAAAGAAGATCATCAAAAAATAAAGTAGTTTGTGGAATTGGGTCCCATTCTAGTTTCATATGATTAGGTTTAGTAAAAACAGGTTTATTGTCAGGTCCTAGAACTGGAGCATAATGAAGCATTTTAAGCGCAATTTCTTGAAACAAGGCTGGCATACTTTTTAATCCGAACGGACATTTTTTAAAGACATATTTGCCCAAAGGGCAAGCAAATGTAGTAATATGTTGACTTTCTTTAGTGACCGATAGACTATAGTATGCAGAAGATAAATCAAACAGGGTAAATAAAGCCTGATTATGTTACGTATGCAAAGTGGGGTTGATATCAGGTATTAAGGGTACTGGAGAACTGATAACCTTATTTACAATCCTATAATCTATAACCATTCGATAACTTTGAGATTTATCCTTTTGTCCTACAAGATAACAGGGGCTTGCAATTAAATCGTGACCGCGGTCATCGGCAGGAACTCGTTTAATAATTTTATATTTCTCTAAAAAGTCTAAAATTGAGCGCATATGTTCCCTTTCTTCATGAGCTAAAAAGTATACTTTGCGAAATTTAGGGAGAGTTTCTCCTGGTCGAATCTGGATATGGTATAAACCCAAGCTGTCAGAGAGTGAACCTATATCATATGCATGCAAACTAACAACTGAATAATACTTTTCCATAAAAATATCTTTAATATAGGGTTGTACCCAGGGTCTAAGTACAATACCTTCTTATAATATATTGCTTTCTTGTCTATTCTCCAGGTTTATTTAAGCTCTCATGATCGGACCTACACAGAACCCTAACACAAATATTCACCTCTCCTTAATTTTTTTTTACTTTTAACGTATCATACGCCGCATAAATCTAAAGTTTTCAGGGACCTGGACCAGACAGCCAGATATTGAGCTCTCCGGGTTTCCCGGCACTGTAAAAATCATAGAATTCATCAACCCTTGTGAATGTATATTTATGTGCCTAATAAAATATTTATTTATTTATTTCACCATTATCCATGATTAAATTTATGCTTCGATCATCTACATTAGCCAATCATTCAAATCATCCTATTTATTGATTGGTTCCAAGCAAGTTGCCACAGCTACTGCTAGACCTGGAGTCGTTGATTCAAACATGATACTTCATGGTTAAATCGTTTAACAATGGTTTTATAAATGTAATCCCCCCCCCCTCAAGAAAATATAGTTTAATTAATGATTTGAATAATATAAATTGAACATTATTTTTTCTATAATTTTAAGCATGCGGCAGGCAGTAGTGATTTCTTAGGGGGACAACAAATCTACCTTATTTGTAAATAAATCAGAAATCAATGATTATTTTGTATGGGTTGAAATGGAAAGATTAAAGACCATGTTCACGCGAATTCTTTGGTATAAATCTTTATTTGTGAAAGTTATCCATTTTGGATGCAGAAGAGATTCAATTTTTAACCTAAATAATGTTTGACATCATTCTCGTGGATTTGAAGATTCCAACATCTCAAAATCCTTTGAAAACTTTATTCTAGTCATGTTTTATGCCCTAACGTCGCCATATTTTTAAAAAATGTATTTATTTTCGAGGATCGGACACTTAAAAGAAATAATATTGAAAGGACGAGGATTTCGATGTGGTTCGGA